AATCTCCCCTGGCCAGCCCCGCTGCCCTCTCCTCTCCCCGCCAGCCCTGCTTCCCATCGCCCCCCTTCTTCCTGGCCAGCCCTGCTCCCCTCCCAGCTGGTCCTTTCCCCTTCCACAGGCGAGGAGTTCCACAGGTTGACTGTGCGTTGTGAGAGAAAAATGTTTCCTTTAGTTTGTTTTAAACCTGGTGCCTCTTAATTTCATTTGGTGAGCCCTAGTTCTTGTATTAAGAGAAGGAGCATTCTTATGTATTTTCTCTACACCAATCATGATTTTGTAGACCTCTATCATATTCCCCCCTTAGCTGTCTCTTTTGCAAGCTAAAAAGTCCCAATCTTATTAATCTCTTCTCATATGGCAGCCGTTCCATCCCCTAATTATTTTTGTTGCCCTTTACTGAACCTTTTCCAATTCTAATACATCTTTTTTGAGATGAGGAGACGTCTTCTGCAAACCAATCCACTTTTCAAGCTTTAGCCTTTTGCAGTCTAATTAAAATACATTGGTAATTGGAACATACAGGTCCAAAAGTCAAGGAACGCCAGCATCAAATAATAATAGCATTGGGAGGAAGGTACATTTAAATTACTCTGCTTTTATTTTTTCCTTGTTCCACATGTGGCAGCACCTTCAGTTCTCTAAAGGAAGGACTTTGCCATTATTTGCATAACTGTAATTTGCTTGGCAAACCCTGTTGAATCAACATCATCATCTGGTGTCCTACCCTCTATCCAAGATATATGGAATTACTTTCAGATAATGGAATACCTTATTTCCATAAAGTTTTGTAAGAGACGTATCTTACTGAAAACATACCATGATGAAAAATGCGATATGAGAACAGGGCAATAAACAGTTCCGATGTTCAAGGTTAATTTTTAGTAAAGAGCAGATATATGACAGTCAAACCTTTATGTAAATAATTGCCTTTTTGTATGTTGTATGATTCATTGTTATCGGGGATATTGAACTGTAAATAAAAAACTCATTCCTGATTGCGTTGCTAATCTGCAAGTGCTAAAGGTTAAAAGCAAGACTCTTTGTTTCCTGTTTCTAAAATACATTCTTATCAAGCTGCAAAAATAAAACCTTTAGTAGCTCTCACTTTCTTGCTGATAATTGAACAATAGGTGTTTGAAGAATAAAAGGGCCTCTAGTCTGATTATGGTTAATATTGCTTCCTGCAGATCCAAACCACCATAGACAGCTTCCACTCAAAACACTGTGGGAAAAATTCTGCTTGATGGTTACACATGTTAATTGATTGCATGGTTGAAAATAATTAAAGAAACAAACACACACCATAAACATAAAATCAGGCCTTTGTTACACTGACTCTTACAAGATGTGTACAGTACTGCATATACAGTTTCTATGTCACTTAAACCATTCACATGCCTTCTCCACTCTTCACTAAGGTTACATCTACACTGCAGTGCTATTACCACAGGTATCCCAAAATAGCTATTCCATGACTTTTGAGCGCATTCATTATTTCAAAGTATAATAGGCTCGCTATTTCAACATCCCTGTAAACTTCATTCCACAAGGAGTAAGGGACGTTTTGGAATAGTGATTTATTTCAAAATAAGTGCTGTGTAAACAGTGCCAAATTTTGAAATAAGCTATTTCAAAATTAACTCAAAATAATTTGTGTAGCTCAAATTGCGTAGCTTATTTTGAACTCCGGGTGCAGTGTAGATGCACTCTAGAAGATGTTGCCATCATTAATACTGTACACATCTTGGTGACTGAACAAGATTGTGGGTGAAGAGATCTTTGCATCTTTCCAGAGGACAGAAAATCAGTGAAAGGAGGGTAGAACATGCTGAAAACAGCAAGCAACATATTGCCTTCTGTTAAAACATGGATAATATCAAAGCAAATAGGATAGAAAGTACCTCGAATATTTCTG